CCCCAAAACCCCAAAACCCCAAAACCCCAAAACCCCAAAACCCCAAAACCCCTCTTAAAGTGTTACCCTACCATTTAAGAATAAAATAAAGATGAGGTGCAAAAGTCTAAAGAATATTTCAATTGTTCAAGTGAAGCAGAGGAAGCTCCTGCTTGGAAAAAACAAGAGGGATACCTCAATTAACGAACGTATTTCACGTGACGAATATTCTATGAATTTATCTGAACTAGAGACTGAACGGTTTACAATGAGATCGACACGTCTTACGGATTCTGATCTTAGTCCTTCGAAGAAGAGGAAGAAGACCATAAAGTATCCAACCTTGAAAGAACATCCACTTTTTTATGACTTGAGTGGCAGCGATGTTGAGAAATACGAGATCTTTAAGGAAACTGCTCATGAATGTTTCTCGAACATCTATTGAGAAGATCCTGAAGTCCAAAGAACCTGCTTGAATGATATCACTCTGCTCAGATTCTGCATCGCAAGGAACTTTAAGCACAAGGCTGTTCTTAAAATGTGGACGAAATGGGTCGATTGGTATATGGACTATCGCCCAGATTTAATCACAAACCAGGAAATTAGGCATCTACCTCTGACTAAGTACTTCAAGATCCATAAGACAGATCAAGAGGGACGATCCCTTGTTGTCCTAAGACCTGGTCTTATTGACGAAAATCTGGACTCAGATGATGCAATGCTGGTGTGTTTGTATATCATTGAAAAAGCTATCAAATAAATCAGAAAGGAAAGCCGACGGCAAAATTTCCGTAATTTTTGACCGTAAAGGAATGAGCCAGAAGAAAGACAAGAAGTGGCTAGGCACTTATAAGAAGATGAGCCAACATTTACAGGACTATTACCCCGAAAGACTCCAAAATGCTTTCATTGTTAACTCAAATTGGGTGGTCCATTTAATAATATCAATGATGAAAATGTTCTTATCTAAGGCCACTAAAGATAAATTATGAATCATTAAGAAAAACAGCAAGCTTCTCGATTACATCGATTTCGAGAACGTCCCTGAAGATCTTCAATAAGGGAAACCAGCAAAATAATTTTTAATACTTAACTTTAACTACAAAAGTTTCCGTTGCCGGCTCATTTTTCCATTATGTGACGAACCGTTTAGGGATTTTTAGATAATTTGCAGTAAAAATTAAGTGGTATGGAATATTCGAAATATATATAAACAGAAGGTTTAGAATTAGGGGTTTTGGGGTTTTGGGGTTTTGGGGTTTTGGGGTTTTGGGG